TTATCCTCAAGGTAGTCACCTGCACGGTACTTGGTTTTGACAGCGCCAGGACGCGTGCTCCATCCGGCAGTCCCTTTCGGAACTTTGGCATACATACGGCGATTCTTCCATGCACCTGCTTTTTGCTTCTTCCAAGGTTCTATCTTTGATCTCCGAAGAGGACCATGGGGGGCTAGTTGTTGAATACGGGTGTTGTGCTTTTTCGGTGACCTTCAGCTGATGCGGCCTCGCGGCCATGAATCTCGTACAGACATGCTCACCCATGTGCTGATACTGCTATGATCGCTTTGCTGTCAGATTCTCTCGGCGGAAGCGCCAGGACGGGAAGATCCCCATTGTCATATTGAGCCATATTATTGTACATGGTAACGTTGCCCTGGAATCCTTCGTTCAAGCGCACGTGCACGAACCCCCAGCCTTTCAATACCACTGCTCCGATAAGACCTTCTTTGTACTTTTCCGATGTCCAATATCCCACATTTACTCCCTTCGGAACAGTGTCTCCGAGAGTCGGGTCAAGATTCCATTTGGGACGCTGCACTGACGAAAGGAGATCGGACGCGTCTTGCGATAGCCGGGTTATCCTGACCCAAAACCTGGCTTGTGGATGATGTGTTGCGCGGGATGCATGTGTGGGCCGCATGAGGCGTGCGTGCATGTGTGGAGCGGAGCTGTGCGGAACCAAGGTATTGACATATCCTAAAAGTAACGTATGATGTCGGCCTGTATACCGGACACAGGTGCACCGCCACAGGTGAGAGGGACTCTTTGCAGACATGGGCCGAAGGATTGAATAAACACGAGAGACCGACAAGGCTTTGGATAATGTATGGCTAAGGGGCATGCGTCTCGTAACGAGGCAACACCTCTCCAATATGCGTGGAGGTCGATTCATGCTCAGTATATGCAGTTTCCTCAGGTTTGCGCGTTGATGACCGCAGTATTAGTTTGCAGCGTCCTCAGTCATCCAGCTCTCGTCCAAAGTCAATCAATCTCAACCTCCTCGCATCTTTCGGGTGGAACTGCGCAATCTTCGCCCTGATCAAGAAACGTGAAGCCGCAGAGTCTCGCTCCAGCTGAAAGTATGCCTTTCCACTTCCTGGTCCCATTAGAGTAGCAAACAGATTCTCAATCAACTGTCGCATCTCTGCATCCGCAGCTTCAGCCTCAGTAGGCGGCTCTTCCTCCTCCTCTTCAGCATCAAGAGTACCCTTCTTGCCCCAAATCTCATCGATCCTGCGCTGTCGCGTCTTGTCTGAGACTGGTTTCTTCGATGACTTTGCGCGTCCTTTCTTTGTGAAACCGGCAGCAAGAGTGTCGTCCTCTATGTCAAGCATGTCGCCTACGACAGGTCCACCGAGCTCTTCTGCTGCAAGCATGCTAGAGAGGTAGTCATTGATGAAGTTGTTCATAGCTTCTCCCAGACGCTGCATGTCCGCGTCGTAGTTCTCCTTCTTTGCGCGCTTTGCTGCGATGAGTTCTCGTGCAAGTTGAGCAGGAGTCTTCTGAGAGCGATCTTCATGCTGAGAGCGTAGCCGTCTGATGCGATCCTGCATTGCCTGAGTGAGAAGGTGGGCATCGTGTAAATTGGCTTCCTCACGACGAAGCGTGGCCTCCTTTGTGCTGAGTTGGCTCTGAGTGCTTGCGATTGCTTCCTTGGTTCCTTGGACATTCTGTTGAAGCGTACGCGCTGCTAACAGTGCAGGCAGAACTGATCCTTGGGTGGGGAGGTACGTTGCTGTTGGCTTCAACTGTTTATACGCGTCTTTGACGGCTGCGAGCTGCTGAAGCTTCTGACGCGGATCGTCCGATGCATAGGCGGCTGTCTCTATATCAACATGTGACTGAGATCGCAGCTTTTAGTTGGTCAGTATTATCCTTCCTAGACGCGTCTTTATCGCGTTACCTTGTCAAGCGCTGCTTGTTGTTCTTTCACGCGTGCCTGCAGCTCTTTCACTGTCTGCTCCAGACGCGCCTCGGTGCTGGACGCGTCAAAGTCGACGACATCGTCCTGCAGCCCCCGAGCTTCTTCGACATACTCGCGTATCTTTCTGAGACTCTCACTCTGTAGTTGCGCCATTTCTCCGACCGGCTGGCTGTGTGTTCGAGTGTGGTCCACCGATGTCGCTAACAGGCCAGTGGTGCCTGGCGAGCGAGGAGACCTTCACCCCTTTCAACTGTGTACTCACTAAGGCTCCCGCTGCACCGCGAGGAACTCCACAGTCTTTCAGTCGTCGTGCTGCCTGTATTTACAGACAAAGTCGTAGTACCACACGTGACGCGCCAAGACTTAGCGCCGATCTCCCCGCGATAGCTCCATTTTGCGTCGTTTGCGCCTCCTCCCTCGCGACAAACGACCTGCTGTTATCAACCATCGCCCACAGTTCCTTCTCCATCGCGGCCCACCCCTTCTTCTAACATTGCTTTCTCGTTTGAGAAGGAAAGCGCGCAACCTCGAGCTCTCCGCACCTGAGACGCCGGACCGTTGCCGAGAAGGTTTGACGAGCGAGCTTTCTTTACTTGGGCCAGTTTCTTCCTCTGTCGACCTCACCTCGTCCCAAGAAACACACACCCTTTCCGACTCTCCCGCTCCATCACAAGCACCATCATACCCGATTCCTCGCTTCCCGAGGCCTCTCTCCTCCGACCACTGCACCCTCTGCACGCTCCAAACTCCTTCAAGCTCCCGGCGACGTTACCTCCTCGCACCTTCACCGCACTGTCGCGACTCCCTCCAGCCCGCCCTCACAGCACGCTTTCTTTCACGGCCCCCGCTGTACATAAAGTCGCAAATAATCGAGATCAATTGAACAAATCTCACCTTCCCGTTTGAACGCTCCTCGACTGTGAAGAGCGTGCATACCCGTTTCCAAATTCAAGATCCACAACTCATAACAGAAAACATGTCCGCCTCACCCACCATCGCGGCTTCCTCGGCCAAGCGACCGCTCGAGGAACCCTCATCGCCTGCCGGACCCAATGACCAACCCGATGCCAAGCGTCCTGCTCTCGACAAGATGGTCAAGGAGGATGCGCCCAACCCAGACAACATCGATATCGCGCAACCAGTCCAGGCCGACGACATCGCCACGGAAGGCATCACACAAGAGGACGTAAAGGCGGTACCCGAAGTGGCTGAAGCTGCTGTCGAGAACGGTGCCCAGCCGATCCATACCGATACTGTTGTCCCAGACGCACCCTCTATCCTTGAGACTCAGCCTATCCAATCCACATCAGGTGCTAATGGTCGGCCTGTAAATCACAACCAGCAGGTGGACGAGACCAACTGGCTGCATGTGCGCGCTTGCATTGGCACCAGCGAGGCCGCTACCATCATTGGCAAGGGCGGAGAAAATGTGACTCAGATTCGTCGCTTGTCCGGCGCCAAGTGCACCGTTAGCGACTACTCTCGGGGCGCTGTTGAACGCATCCTTACTGTAAGCGGCCAAGTTGATGCTGTGTCCAAGGCATTCGGCCTCATTGTGCGCACCCTCAACCAGGAGGACCTCGAGACACCTTCTACATCCACCTCCAAGGCCTATCCTATGCGTCTTCTGATTCCTCACATCCTTATCGGTTCCATCATCGGAAAGGCTGGCGTCCGCATCCGCGAGATCCAAGAGGCTTCTAACGCTAAGTTGAACGCATCTGACACTCTCCTCCCCAACTCTGGCGAACGTTCGTTGATCGTACTGGGTGTTGCTGACGCTGTGCACATTGCTGTGTACTATGTTGCTCAGACCTTGGTAGAGCAGCTGACCGAGCGATTCGGTGGACCGGCTGCATCCCAATATGCAACCCGTAGTGGTATGGCTGCCAACGTCGTCCCAGGCGGCATGTCTGTTCAGCCATACGTTCCCCAGCCCGCTGGAGGTCAGTACTCTCACCCACAGAACTTCCGTCGCCAAGAACCGCCCCAGCGAACTCCCGCTCACGGAGGCTATGGTGCTCCGCACATGCAGCATGGACAGCCTCCACAGCAGTCGCCGTACGGTCACCCCAACATGCCTTACGGCGCTGGCTCGCCTAGCCGTGGTCCTTATGGTGGTCCTGCAGCGCCCACTCCTTACGGTGGTCACCCTGCTGCAGCGCCTGTTGCGCACGGCGGCGCCGCTCCACATGCAGCTGTTGGTGGCATGCCTGGCCAGCCTCTTACCCAGCAGATTTTCATTCCCAACGACATGGTCGGTGCCATCATTGGCAAGGGCGGTGCGAAGATCAATGAAATCCGCCAGCTCAGCGGCAGTGTCATCAAGATCAACGAGCCCACCGACAACAGCAACGAGCGTCTTGTTACCATCACGGGTACACAAGAATGCAACCAAATGGCACTATACATGCTGTACTCGCGACTCGGTTAGTAGTGCATTCCATCACATAACACTCACAATGCTGACTATCTATGCAGAATCGGAGAAGCACCGTATCTAGTCGTAGGGTGCTATCGATCCAAAATCGCGACGACATGGTTTACTGGCGGTCTGAGTCAAAGAACACAACACTGTAAGTCGGTCTACTGTCTTTGTGGGATGCATGTTACATTGGAGCACGGCGTAGCGGTATATTTAGTTGTCTCATGGTTTATTGGGTGTGTACTTTACGTGCTTTCTCCCCGACTGCTCTCGGCGAGAAAGAGCATCGCTTTGAGGGAACATGGCGATTACAGGGTTGAGGTGGCATGTGTCACTCCACGGGTCTTTCGCTGCCGATCTATATGATAGTAACATACCTGGTAATCTATCAAAAGCTTTTTGACTTCATCACTTCGCATGTGTGTTGAGTTAGGCATATTTTTTTGGCGATGAGCATGGACTGCTAAGGGGTGAGTGAGATGTAGAACCGGGTGTCAGAGTTATTCTCGTCTTATCGAGTGGACTGTCAAAGACATCTAGCCTCCTCCCGCTGTTCTTTTCCCAAAAATCCGTAGTCGTGTCCTACGAGTGAATAGCATCAATATTTCTCCTACTACAGCGTCTATTCCTCAATCGACTCGTTCAATTTCAAGTGGTTTCGAACCAACTCCTACCGTCATCGGTCATTATCTGCGGCTTAAGAGGACCACCTCGAAGAAGGTTGCTAATATTTGTCTGCCATTCGGCTGTGCGCTCAGCCCTGCAGAAGTCAGTGTAATGTCCGCTTGGGTTTTCTACGGTCAAGAGCTTACCTGATGTATGCGGTGTCGTGTTGAGAACCAAGAGTGACCTTCGTCTTTGTATTTCCCGAATGTGCATCGGTCACCACAGAGTACCGATCAAGGAAGGCGCCTCGATCACGGCCGTCGGCAGGCAACTTCAGCCTCAGCTTCTTCCTCTTCACCTTTGGAGGCGATTCTAGCGAGTCAAGATAGAGGGCTAACTCGTCGTCACTTTCTTCGGCTGCACGCTTCTTAGCATTCTTGCCCTCATCGTGACCCCTATTATCGTCATCGGGAAGGGGACGCTGGGCGATGAGATTGACCGACAGATCGAGGAGGAAGTCTTTCGGCAGGTTCTCCGTCGTCCAGTGTTCAATGCGCTCTTTACTTGCACGTTGGAAGAAGATGTCAACCATTAAACGACGCGCGGGACTCGACTCGGGTGTACCGTCTTAGATGGTACGTACTGCAGATGGCTCCGGGAGAGAGTGGCCGAATTGAGGGCTCTCGCATCGTTTCCGAATGGCTGCCAGGATAGATTTCTTAGTGGAGTCGTCCATGAGCATCTCGGCGAGGACGTAGAGCTCGCTCATGGGCTGGAATGACCACGGCTGGCCTTGGAAGGATAGCTTGGTGCCATTCTATGAACTCTTCGTTAGCCAAGATATGGATACGCTGATCGTGTGAGCATGCGTACATAGAGTGTGTCCAGATACCAAGCAAATATCCTAGGGTTCTCTTCTTTCAGAGTGACCTCGAGAGTCTGTGCTGAATTCCATCCCCCTCTTAAAGCATTCCGGAAGAACTTGCTACAATAACAGATGCGGTACGGGTCCACGAAGAACTTTTTTTGATTTGGTTCTTGACCGACAACGACACAGATAGTATCGTCATCCGAAAACTGTGAAAGAGCGTCATTATCCGACTCTGAGGACTTTTGGAGAAGAGCATCGTCAGGCTCAGGGTCGACGTCGCATTCGTCGGACGCGGAGTCGTAGCAGGTTCTTTCAGTAGCATACCTAGCGCGCAGACGCATTGTAGTGTTGAGATAGAAAAGTTTGACTTGGAGGTTAGGTTCTGAAATGAGCGGTTTGAGGTGCAGCGTTTGGGGAGTGTGGAACTGGGAGAAAGAAGAAAAAGGCACTTTGTACGGACGTTACCCCTCGCACAGTCGCTACACTAGACCCGATAGTATGGAAGTAAGGAAAAGGGAAGTTCTGGCTCCTTGTGGTTTTCACTGAGGCGCCCTGCATCGCCAGCGGGGCTAGGCACCTTTGACGACCTGAATGACTACCGCATTGAAGTTCATTTAGTGCTTCCGACATCTCAGCGCCAGCGCTGTGCTCTCTGTAGTATAGTCAGCGCAATTTCCATCTACATGTTGTACACAATTGTGCTTTAGACTTGAGAGGCACGGATTGCCTACAACACCAGGCTCTTGAGTCGAAGATGACCAACATTCGTGACCAGATCAAGCTGCTTCTACATTAGTAGTCACACATGAGTTCCATGCAAAACAGTGTGCGCGTTGTAAGCTAGTTGCTCTTGAAACCTGTATGATGACATTTTACACTTGCTATGCCGCCGCGTGAACACCTACCACGCTTATCTATGCTGCAATCAGCGCACCCCCTTTCGAATATCACGCCCCTACGCCATACCGTTGACATTCTAAACACCCCTTCCTGCCTCGAAGATGCATTCTGCCTAGGTAGTGGCAGGTGCAGGTGCGGTAGCAGGGTCGGTGCCGACAGGCGCAGCTGGTGCAGTACCCGCAACGCCCTCGGTAGGTGCAGGAAGAGCCGTGTTGTCAATCGCATCGTCGCTCTTCTTGGCCCACTTGGGTTCCTTTGCCCACTGTGCATCCCACCATGGGCCTGCATCGCTCAATTGGCAGCCCTTCTCGCACTCGCATGATCCACCGAATGCCTTGGGCAGGTTCTCGGCTGGGACCTGCGCCAGCAACTCCTTCTGGTATCCGCTGCCGAGAACGTGGATCTTGGCGCTTGTGACGGGGTCGAGGAACTTCTTGACCACGCTGAAGACGCCCGAGAAACCCCAGGGGGCGTTGATGATGTACATCTTGCCCAGACGCTCGGGGTAGTAGTTTTGACTGATCTGCGAGACGGCGCCGAGGTAGCCGTACACGGAGGTAGCCTTGCCAATACCAACGCCCTTCAGGTCCATGATTGTGCAAGATGTCTCGAGGAGGTAGCCCGACTTGCGGGAGCAGGCAGGAAGACGGGGGTCGGCCATCTTTTCGTATTCGCAGACAAGGTTCTGGATCATGCGCTCCTGGGAGGTGATCTTTCCGAGGGCGGTGAGGTCGACGTTGCCGAGCTGCTCGATGTAGAGTGGGCGGCCATCCTAGTGTTGCGTCAGAGGTTTTGTTGGTCAGATCTGGGCTGAGCTCTCAGCCCAAGTAGAAGCCACGTACCTTGTCCGTCTTGTGGTAGTACTGGGGGTAGAACTTGAAGACCTCGGGTCGCTCCTTGTAGTCAAAGGTGCGGACGAGCTCCTCAACGCCGACGCCAGCATACTCGGCCCTCCACTTCTCGCAGTCAACGAACCTGGTGACTGTCAGCATACACTCCAGGCATTCTTCTACAGTGCCCCCATGCTGCATGTACATACATCTGTTTCGCAAGCTCGACATTGAACTTTCGCGCGCGGAGGAACCGCAGCTGTAGATTGTTTAGCTTGAGGCCTTTGCACTCGCAGGAGAAGCGGTGAGCATACCAGAGTCAGGGTGTCGAGGTTCTTAGTGTGGCCGGACTGCTCCAGCTGGGTTCTCAGCTGGAAGACCTGGGCATCTTGCTCTGGAGTTGTGTGGCCTGGGTGTCCTGGTTGGGCGGTGGGAGCGACAGTGGGAAAGTCGTAGTGGTCGTACTTGGGGTCGAGCTTCAGCTCGTTCGTCGCAGCAGCAGCCATTGTGTCTAGAGTGTACGAGAAGAGAGGTGGCTCGAAATGTACAGGGAGGAGGGAAGTAATTGCGAGTTGCGCGGCCTGGACGAAGTTGTCGAGGAGCGCACGTCGATGTCAACTAAGTGGGTCCCTGCCGCGGCGGTCAAGCGAGACCCCTTCCCCTCATCCTCCTCGACGGCTCATTCCAGCGAATTGTGGCCGTTGACGCTGCCCCATGACGCATCTGTGGTCCGAAAGCCATGTTCACGCAGCGTTCCTCACGCAACCACGTTACACCACACGTGCATCGAGGATATGTTGAACGGTAAAACCGTAGTCAGACCTGCTCGAGTGCAGGCGACGAGGCCTTTTTGAAGGAGCTACCTAGTTGATACATTGCAGAAAAGATGAACGCAAGACGAACCCAGAAAATAGATCAAACATCCCATGCCGACAAACACCAGCCACAGAAAGCCAAACGCTTCGCACGTTGAAAAAGAGAGTAGTGGTCCTTCCATCGTCAGGCTACCAAGGAAAACATGTTCCAGACACTAACAACAAACATGATGCGAGATTCTGCACTAACCGCTGGCATTGCTCATACCTCCCAAGTGATCAGACCGCGCACCGTCTATCGAGCGATTCACCCCGTTACCAAACCTAAATCTCCATCGTGGAGCCCGCAAAGGACGCGAGCGAACCGTAGCAACCGAACACCGAGCAAATGACGCCTGAAAACGACGGAGATTGCTGCACCAGAAAGCGTATTGACATGCCCGGAGGCCAAACCACGTCAAGCCGATCAATTCCTTCGATCGCGGCTTGGCCCAAAGTCGACTTCGGACACCTTCTTCGCCTCTTTGCGATTCTTCACAATGTATTGCGCGTACAGGGCCACGTGGTCACTGGGGAAGTGGTAGTTGGGGAAACCCGGTACCCGCTGGAGATAGTTCTTGTCAATCTCGCCAAGCAGACCTACCACCTGCAGTGTGTTTGTCGAGTACCAGATGTAGTCCAGGACTCCTTGGAAGTGAGGTACGTAGTTCGTGAACGCCAACTCGCCGATAGATGCGTAGCTGGACTTGAGACTGAATGGATGGGATATACCGTCTCGTGTGAAGTTACCATACTTGCGGCTTCCCAGATCCACGTGAGCATTCGAAACATTGCCGTGTGTGATGAGATCGTAGACACCAGAGGATGGCAGCGAGTTGAAGTCACCGCATAGCAACACGGGGATATCGGAAGGATCAGAGTATTCCTTGGAAGGTCCGGGCTCCTGTGTCGGGTCGGGTTCGGCTCCTTCTTCGCTATCGCCATTCGTGAACTGGTACACCACCTTGTTCTTACAGGCCGGGTGCTTAGTCCATTGAGTTGCAAGCTTGGTGATACCCTCCATCAAGATGGCGACTTGCACAAGCTTGACATCCTGGAACGCAGGGTTCCAGAAGACGTGTACGTTTCCGACAATGAATCTGGAACCTGTAGCACGGTTTTCGAGGAAAGCAACAACGCCAATATCGTCTCTGGGCATGACTCGATTGAATATATCGTGTTCGCCCTTCATATCCGGACGGTTGATGGCTGTATTGGCAAAGTCGATGAGCTGCTTGTCCAGCAAGATGTACCTGGCCTGATTAGTGGGGTTCCGCAAGACGAGACGGTTAAAAACTTACTTGCTGTTCTTGTAGAAGATGGCACACCCATCGACCAGCTTTGCTTCCCTTTCTGCCATGGTACGCGCTCGTGATTTCGGCCAGAATACTCCCTTGTAGTCGTTGTGCGCCAGCTCTGCTCGGAAGAACTCGTTGAAACTATCTTGATCGATTTCTTGCAGACACACTATGTCTGCGTCGCGCTCCCGCAGTTCAGCAAGAATGAGCTCCCTGCGACTCTCCCAGGCCAATGCTGAGCTCGGTGTGTATCCATACTGTGATTGCGTACAGTATTTGTCGCACAAGATGTTGTAGCTGAGCGCGCTCACAGTCTCTTGTGCCGTGTCTTGAACCTCATCGAGGACAATCCAGTCTCGCTCTGGTGGCGCCTCTGGACCCGGTGCGTTCTCGCGGAAGTGCTTGATAAGTTCCGTGGTGCCTTGTTCCATTATGATCTGTTTCAGGTCGTCCGGAATAGGGTTGCCCTCGATACCTAGCATTTCCAGTTGATACAAGGATCCTAGTTCGTATGGCAGATTCTCGATGTGGTTGTCGAACAGGAGCAGCTGCTTCAGGTTCACTAGCATGCCAATCTCCGGGGGTAGATATTGCAGATTGTTCAGGGAGAGATCGAGATGAGTGAGGTTCCGCAGCTGTCCAATCTTCTGGTGCACGTAGGTGAGCTTGTTGGAGTTGAGGTAGAGCTTGGTCAGGAAAGTGTAGGCAAACAAGGCTGGCGTGATGACTTTAAGATTCTGGCCGCCGAAATCGAGAATTGTCCAAATGTGCTGGTCCTTGGCATCTTCCACCCGCTGAGCAGCAGGCCTATTGCGCTCTTCCTTGTCCGTCTCTTTTTGCATCCCGTTTGATGTTCCCGCGACAATGCTCTTACTAACGCTCGGGTGGATGCGAGCGTGTGAGTGGGCCTGCGTCATCTCACGCGCGGTCTGGTGCAGCTTCAATTGCTCTTGCCAGTGTTCGGTTGGTGGTTTGCTGAGTCCACTATGAACGCTGTTTGGTGTGCCGTTCTGGAGATGGCCCGGCGTAAAGTGGGGCTGCACGTTGGACATACCCCCACTCGAGATGTTGTGCTGGTGGTTGAATTGGCCGACATGATTGTTTCCGGAGATGTCCTGGTGCTGCTGGTGATGTTGGTGCTGGTTCTGGTGGTGCTGATTGTGTTGGAAGGGCTTCCCCAGGTTCATGTGCTGCATAAAGTTCTGCTGCCCTGCTCGCCCGTTCATCATAACGTTGTGGCCCTGGTGCCCATGGGCCTGGTTGAACATGCCGAACTGCTGGGGAGACGACTGGCGCCCAGGAGATCGTGATGGCGAGGGTGTGTCGGGGTTGGGGAAGGGTATGCGGGCGGTAGACGTGGGTGAGCGCACTCGGCTGGGGAGGTTGCGTATGTTTTGTGTGTGTTGCGGATAGAAGGTATTGCCGGTTCCCCTGGGGTAGACCGAGTACTCGGCCATCT